TATGTTCATACAGATGCGCGCACTAAGGTAACTTGTACACTTAAGTCTATGCTTTGTTAGTAATAAACTAGTGCGTAAACAGTGAAGTTATTCATTCCAGACGAAATGGAACAACTCAAAGATCTGTTAGAGCTGCTCAGCAACCTTGACATATTCAGAAAAGACATTAGAATAACCAAAAATCTCTACTGACAGCAAACGAAATACGAAAATAGAAAGAAGTGTAAGGCAAGGATGTGTCTTCTCATCGGACTTATTCAACCTACACAGTGAAGCAATTCTGAAAGAACTAGAAATCCTATCAGGATTTATCATTGGCGGCCACAATCTTAACAACATAAGATATGCAGATGACACAGTGCTGATAGAAGACATTGAAAGGTAGCGAAGGAGAGCGACAAGAAAGGACTAAGCATAAATTACAAGAATACAGAATGCATGGTCATCAGAAAAAATGCAATTTACAGGTCGGGGACACTAAAATCAAGCAGGTACAGAAATTTAAATATCTGGGAAGTGTTCTAACAGAGGACGGAAAGTGCGACACTGAGATCCGAAGACGTATTGGGATAACCAAAGACGCATTCTAAAAGCTAAGCAGAGTATTAAGAGACAGGAAAATTTCATTGGAACCAAAGAGTACTGAACTGTTACGTGATATCTGTCCTCCTGTATGGCAGCGAATGTAGAGTCATCTCCTCAAAGATGAAGAACAGGCTCTAAGCAATGTGGTTCTACAGAAGAAAGCTGAGGGTACCATGGGCCGAATATATGAGAAACGACGAAGTTTTGGAGGGAATGGAAACAAAGAGGAAACTTAACATCAAGAAGAGACAGTTGAAACTTCTGGGACACGTAAGGAGGAAGGAGGTATTCGAAAATCTCATACTCACAAGACGGATAGAGGAAAAGAGCGACAGGAAAAAGACAAAATTTATTAAAAGCTACAAGGGACGAGAGGGGGTGGAGGGCCATGATCGCTTACGGTTCTGAAGGGACATGGTAGTCAGTCAACAATTCCAACAAAGAACTTCGGTCTTGTGCATGTAGACAAAATTGGTAACCAAAACGTGGTTTCCAACTCTCTACTCGTTTCATTGGTCTGCAGCTGTAATTCTTAGGCTGACAGGAATCATTTCAATAGACTATATTATTCACGGGCAGTCTTTTGCAAGAGGTGGTAGAGTGGGTGGCAAAAGAAGTGTGGTGAGGTCAAATGTTCTTGTTACATTTCGTCATCTCGCATCTCTGTGATAGCCTCGAACTAGTCAACCTGTGTTGACTACCCCGTCTCTTCTGCTCGACTGCCTTGTCTCTTCTTCTAGACTGCTCCGTACTGCTCACTGACATAAAGAAGGGATATATTCCTTTCAGATGTCAGGTTACAAGTTGATTTGCATACATGCACAGTAATATTCATCCTCAGTTCAATTTTAGGCCTTCTGGTTTATATCGGTCGTCATTTTTTCAGCCTGTTTTACGTGATTTTCCTAGTTAAAACCCTATTAATTCAAACCAGACAATTTCAGGTAGTAATTAATTTTATTGTAATTAAATGTGTTTTGTGTCTCCCAAAAAAATCAGGGTGCTTTTGGTATGCTAGTAAAATCCAAATTACCTGGCCTGGCTTTCTAGGTTTTTCACATTAAACTTCCTAAGTTAATTCCTATTCCAAACGACACTATGTATAGAATTACTCAATTGTAAAATTCATACCTGTAATTATATTGCATACTAAATAGCATGTTGCAGTTAAAGGACCTGTTAATAATATCCTGACATCAGAGCTCTGGGGAAATCATTAGAGGTTTTGTAAAGTGCATGCTTGTTTTGTGGATACATGGTGGCTTAACATCTTATTAGTCCGCTGTTATGTGTTTATATATATATATATATATATATATATATATATATATATATATATATATATATATATATATATATGTATGTATGTAGCAAAGAATCATTTGAACAATTTGTATTAAAATCAAGGTCTATTTTATTTTAAATTTTCTGATGTGCAACAACTTAGTCAAAAATTTGCAAATTACAATAAAAAATTAAACATATGTATTTATATATGTGTGTGTTTATATATATATATATATATATATATAGACATATATACATATATACACACTTCTATACATATATACACACACACACATCTCTCTCTATATATATATAAATAAACATATCTCTCCCATACTCTCTCTCTCTATCTATCTATCTATATATATATATATATATATATATATATACACACACATATATATATATATTCCCACACACACACGCATATATATATATATATATATATTCACACACACACACACACGCATATATATATATATATATATATATATATATATATATAGCACCATTGATATGTATGTAACGATAGATATCTCAATAATTTCTGTCCTGTCTAATTTAAAATCAAGCAACCCCAAAATAGGAATTATTTCTCAATGCATTTGAATCTAATTTTTCCACACTGTTTTTTCTTTGCTTGTTCCAATCATTTCTCATCCGTTCTCAGCTCTGAAGGTAGCATTCTTAACAAAAGCCATATATTCCAACATCTTCCAAAGTTCCCCCCTCCACTTTTTTTTCCAGACGCCTACGTTAGCTTCCTTCTCGGTTGGTATGATAAATCCAGCCTGTTCCCAATAACGCCCTATATGCTGACATTCTTTGACTCAGTTACATTTATTTTTCAAGATAGGCAATCAGACGTTAACTTAAACGAATAATCCGGGTACACGGCTAGGACAAACCTAGGGCGCCTGCTGCAGATTAATGTCTTCACAGGTCATTGCGATAGTGTTTGTTTTTTACTTGGTGCCCAATTAATGTAGTCTCTTTTTTTCAAGTCGAACTAATTTTAGAGAACATTTACGATTCCTTTCTGTAAAGTGTTGCTTATCAGGTTAGTCTCATCAATAGTTCAGGGTTCGAATCTCAATGAGTGCTCCGCTGTTACTCTAAGCTTAGTAAGAATGGCGCCTATTGTTGTGCTATGGGCAGTAAGAACGTCTCGTGAACCAATTTACTAGTGTGGCGAGATTCTCACTCGTTATACTAAACATGTAGCCTTTTGTTAGATTCACCTAATCCTTTATATCGATGCCACGTTGAAGAACAAGCGAATTTCACTGATCAACTACCCACTGTAATATTAAGTACCTCAACGTGGCGGAGTGGCTTGCACCCTCCTATGGAGAGCTAAACTGGCAGGTTCAACTAAGACAATAAAGTGAATGGGTAAGAAAAAAAACAAAAAAAATCAAAAAGGAGCAAACTTCATTGACAAAAATCTTGGAGCGCGCAGCATCTCTCCAGTTGCACAGAGAGGCAGGCATAAACTGATCCATATATTCGCTTGATATACCCTACAGTTAAAAATTTGGAGCCACCCCCAAAATTAGCATGAGATGAACTCGACAGAAGAGTGAAATCTTTCCATCAAAAAAGTGAAAAAGATCTTAGATTCACTGAAAAAAATTGAATCAATTACCAAACTTATACTTGAGAAACGTTTTCAACGAATGCGAAAAAAATGGTGCTGCAATAATCAAAGCTAAAGGAGGATGTTTTGATGAGAGCAAAATTTAACCATGAAATGATTTTTTTTTCTTTTTGTCATAATAAAATCTCTATAAAATATGTCTCACCTTTTGTTTTAATCATGTATAATAATTTTCTCTTATTTAAAGTACAAAGAAACTACTTTTTGGGTCAATTGAAAACATTACCTGAGGTGCCTTCAAACTTTGAAACTGTAGTGCATATTTCAGGTCTTAATACGCAAATAATCTGTGTTTTTGAAATTTAAAATTAACTCATAAACGTCGAGAAATGTTGCACGAATGCGCACGCCGAACGGGTTAAAAACAAGAAAATACGAGGACAATTTCCATGATTATTTTCGTTTTAATTATATAAAAAAAACTATTAATCTGATATTTTCACTTTTTAGATTATAAAAATAAAGAAAAAGGAAATAAAACTAATGTTAGGGTCTTAAATTTAATATTTTTTAATACTATATTATTCTTTAAAGAGTTCCTTGCACAATGGAGTTGTGCATTCTTTGCACTAAGTTGTCGCCATTGTTCTGTTCTTTTTCTCATCGATATATGCAGACACGACACTGTCTTTGATTTATTCTTCCAGTTTGATTTGCAGACGAATACTCCAACAAAGGACGTTATCTCATGAATCCTAGAGTTGCCAATTAGTCATTTTGACTTGAAACACGAATGAATTATATATATATAATGTGTGTGTCCAAAATGTATAAGTAATTTTACAGCTGATAACTCAATGTTCAATTATCTTCAGCTATAAATCAATAGAAATAATAATCATAGTCAAGTTATGCTTTGAATAAAAGAAAATTTATACTAAAGTACTACTCGAAGATTGAGAACGAATTTGAAGTGCAAAGACTGTTCAAGAGGGCGTTTCAAACACATTCACCAATGCGACATAGTATCAATCAAATTAGAGATAAGTTTGAAGCAGATGGAATTGTTCAAAATGTTTACAAGAAACATTCCAGAAGACTACGCTAGAGTTAAAGAAAATCTGTGCGGCAAACAAGTCATGAGATAGGAATTTTAGAATCGCATTTTGAAGTGAATGTCTTTAGAAAGCTTCTTCTATGTGTTGTGTTCCTTCAGGACGTGATTAATCTACTACCTTCAATATGTCCCTTGTGCAAAGTTTTCTAAAGCCTCTTTCCTTATGTGCCCTAAAATTTTCAGATTTTTATAAGTAGTATAAGCGTCATTTTTGCTTGCATCTTCCTTAAAACCTCTTCGTTGCTAACATGTTCAGTCCATGGTATTCTCAGCATCCTTCTGTAGAACCATTACCTTAAGTTTAAATCATCAATCGAAAATATCCGCTGATCACCAAAGATCAATCAACGTTGCTTGCTGTTTAAGGGTTAAAGTGTTAAGTTATCAACCTAAGTTTGTTTTGTAAGCATAGGGCCACATCACGTTGAAGCACCGTTCCTTTACTATTACCGAAGTTAAGCAACGTAGATCCTTGTCAGTACTTAGATGGGTGACCGCTTGGGAACACAAGGTGCTGTAAGCTCGTGGATGTGCAGATGGTGCAAATGATAATGGCTCTGAATTATTAATCGGCGAGCCGAGTTCCAATTTCCGTTCAGTTCGTTATATTCACTTGTGGGCAAATACTCTTCGAAAATGTATGGATCCATCCTCTTCTCCCCCGCCAGCTATGGGTTAATTAGTAAAACTTGTATCACTAAAATCATGATTATCTCCAAAAATAATTATTAGAATATAAAAATATTATCTGGCCTTAAATAGCCTGTAACGGGTTGACAAGCCGTAAAAAAACGAAACAATCAATTTCCTGTTTTCTAAATCTGTCGTTTACTTATTTGTATAGGTGCAGTCTGGAATAGTTATGTCGATGGGAATTTTTTAGCTTTTAAAATAAGGGGAGAATTTTCTTTTTTATTCCTGAAACAAAATAATCGTTAGTCGGAGAAAATTATTTGAAAAATAATAAGTGTGCCGTACCAAATAAGAACCGTTATGGTGGGGATTGAAGGAAATTATTTAGTCCACACCGGCACTTGTATTTGGTACACAAGGGTACTTGTTCCATATTTCATTTGTAACTTTTATTTTTTGTTTTGTTTTATCTTACTGATGCTTCTTCATTTGTTCTTTTAGTTTATGTTTCTAGTTATTTTTCTCGTTTCTTCTTTTTCTGAGTACACCATTTACTGCATCTTTCTTCAGTTCTTGCGAATTGAGATCGACACAACATCTCTTGTCGGAGAGTTTGAAAATAATTCTAAAAGTCGGCGTTCAAGTCCAAATGAAAAATAATGACTTTGAATACTGATTAAGAACACACTAAAGGCCTCTCTACAAGAGGAATAACTAGGTCACCTCGCCGTCGGGTGATAAACGGTTGGCTACCATAAAAACGTACCAAGCGTAGTAGATGCCAATATGTTTATTTTTGTCTACATAAAATTCATGACAATACTAACTTTGTAAGATCCATACACACACACACATATATATGTGTGTGTAAAGTTTCAGATAGAGTATATCTGTAAAAGGACAATATAAATAAAGACAAAAAAGTTTTTTGTTTTTATATATATATATATATATATATATATATATATATATATATATATATATAATGAAATGGAATGAAATGGAATAAATCTGACAATTATTTTAATATATTCTCTGCTTATACGTTATTTTTTATAGATGCATATATTTAAGTAAATGCTCTGTTTATTATAAACAGTATTAACTACATTTACCGGCCTGAATGTCCGAGAAATAGCGCAGAAAATATGTGTCCTCCGACAAGAATCGAACCTATATCCTACACGGAACCGTCATTTGGCCTGACTAAATGCTCTGTAGCTAAATGCTATTCCAGTATATGAGAAATCCATATTTTATTTAGGCGTCAATATTACATGTAAAATCTTCAGTAGCATCCACCTATCTATTTGCGCCTAGTTATATAAATCTCACCGTGGAGTAATAAATGCAAATATAGTCTCGCAGGCCATCAATAGTTGGAGCTACTTATGACTTTTTACAAAAGCTAAGTTTAGAGGAGGCACGGTGTTTTAATTGATAGCGGCTCGAATTGAGGAATCGGAGAGCCGAGTTGGAATTCTAGTCGAATCCATTACATTTCTTGGGAAACATATGAATCCTCTTTTTCTCCCCTCAGCTATGGATAAATAACAGGACAGACCGGGTTCTATTGGGTGGCAAAAATATCTGCCTCGTTAGTCATGTATCGAAAGATACATGATCGCCTAAGCGTGTATCCCGCATGGCACATAACTGACTGGAGTTTAGAAAATGAGTAAAGCACATCGCTGGGGTGTAATTAACAATCTTTTCTAGCATACTGTTCATAGTGTATAGTAACGTCGATCTTCATTGGGTACTCCATATTTTGGTGCTTATGTCAGACTAAGCTAAGCTTATTAAATTGCTGTAAGGGATTTGTTTTCTTCTCTCTATAAAATCTATGTTAAATCTGTCTTCCTTTGATTTACAAACATACATTTTTACGAGTCGGGACTGGAAAGCTTTTGTCCTGTTCAACTCTCCAAAAATCTAACCAAACATGAATATTACTTTGGGAGAGTGGTATCTTAGCCAGACCGAGAACTTTTCAGCACTCGATTGTATAAATATCAGAAAAACAGTATTGAGAGAATTTAATGAAAGTAGTAAAGAATTTGAGCTGTTTTTCTCAAGAATAATTTTAGAATAGTTTTACTTTTAAGAGAATAGAAATTCTTTATAGATACATTGGGTGTGTAGCCTTTATGAAGAGACCATTCAAAAGTAGATTTTTCTGTGAAAACTCATGCATGTCGAAGTGCTCCCGTATGCTGAAATATTTAAAGTAGAGTGTTTAATAAACATATTTGAATATGTGTGTATGTATGTATGCATGTATGTATATGTACAGATAGACATATTAATGTTTGTACACATATTTATGAAGGGTGCTGCAAAGTTTCCGGCTTAACCAAAATGTCCCAAATTTTGAGAAGTGAGTTAGGCCGAGAATTTTTCAGCACACGTTCGTATTTCTCTGGACACACACACACACACACACACACACACACACACACACACACACACACACACACACCTATATATATATATTATATATATATATAATTATTTATTTAAAAATATGATTCCAACACGCTACATAAGAGTTCTCATGTTTCAAAACAAGAGCCGAAAACTTCAATATAATTATTTTAATTAAATTGAATTAAAGTACTAAGCTCTAATTGAGCACTATTTTTTTTAAAAATAATAACAAAAATACTAAAGAACTTTGGATTATTTACCTAACGAATTCTTTCCTATTTTCTATATATTTTTCACATATATATATGAATGAAGAAAATAATGAATGTTTGTTAATTCGACAGATTTCTTATGAATTTAAATTTTACTTTTAGTGGATACTCATATTTATTCCTTAAACAGTATATTTATTTATTTTCGTCTACCGGACTGAATGTTCAAGAAATTTTATTAAAGAAAAATAAAATTGCGTCCCCCGGCAGATTTCGAAACTGCGTGCACGTGAGCAGAAGGAGCTACCGTTAGACACAACATCTCTAACAACTAAGCTACAGAGAACAAGTCGGTCAGGCAGGGCCGAAATTGTACCTTTTAAGCGAAATTCTCTAGTCATAAATCTCCCGAAGTTTTTCATATCTGCATAGTTTCGTATCCAAACACAAAGAAAGAATTTTTTTTCTAAAGAAAGTAATAAATTTTCATTAATTCTGCAGGTTTGGTTCCTGTCGAAGATTGTAAATTTTTCTTTAATAAGATTTGTCGAACATTCAAACCGGTAGAAGGAAATAAATATACTGTTTAATGAATAATCAGAGCGTCTACTCAAATACGAGTATCCACTATAAATAACGTCTTATGTGAATTAATATATATATATATATATATATATATATATATATAAATATAAAAGTGAACATAGAAGTCAACACTTAGAGGCGACAGTCTGTTTCATGCTATATGCAATCGTCAGGCCACATATAAATGGAGAGAAAAGGGATAATCTTTAACTAATTGTTACTTAAAGAGGCCTATAAGGTAGAGGGGTACTGATTCAGGTTGTTGCACATAGGAGGAGGAGGAGGAGGAGGTAAGATGTGCAATTTAAGTAGAAAGGTAAGAACAATTCTAGATTTAAAGTGGCTATGGCTGTATTGCTCGGGAAAGTATCTACACTTCCGGGGGTCTGTTCCACAAAGCAGCGATTATTGGAAAGAAGCCGTTTGAATGAAACTTTCTCCTTATTAATGGAATACGAAAGGAATGGAGATGATCCGTTCCAGTGTACATGCCATGACAGATTTTATCAGTGAAGATCAAAGCAAATGTAACAGAGGAATGTAACTGGTGAGAACATTTGACATGATAATAGCCATTGTGCAGTGAGAAGCTTGCGACATTTCGTCTGTGGGATAGGGGTCTTAAAGTAAAAAAAAAAAAAAATCACTCACAAGATTATTATGAACTCTTTCAAAACTAAGAATAAAGTATTGAACAATACCAGTCCATATATGGCAGCAGTATTCCATTTTTGGTCTGATCTAGCTCTTGTAAAGTTAGATGGTAGCAGATGGAATCAGGAACCGACCATTTTTCGTCTACATGAATTTCTGGTACAAGAAGAAAAAAGCATTATATGATCGTTGGTATTTGTGTACAAATAAGAACTCCTTTCTGCAAAGCGGATAACCGTCGGGTTTCGTTTACTGAGCAAATCGAAGAATTGTAAGTCTGTCAAAGTAAATTCACAAATTTCTAGTTTTCGATTCATTTATGACAGCATAAAAATACTGCACATATCGAAGGAGAAAATGCATAGAAGTAGAACTTTCGGATTGAAGGTGAAGCAATAAAAATGAGAGTGAGCATCGTATGTAGACGACAGATCCCGGAGGAAAGCCTTTGAAGAACGAATACAAACAGGCGGAAAGAAAAAAAAAAAAAAGATGAAGACAAGAGAAAATTTGCTTTTGAAAGCTTGTTGAAGTAGGAAACCATTTTCGTCTTTTTCACAAGAACAGAAAAAAAAGTGAAGAAAACGAGAAAGAACAGAAAAAAGAATAATTTTGAAAGAGAGAAAAAGCAATAAAATATGATTGTTTTCTACAGCTTATTAACATTCATCAAATATGAAGAATAGGAAAAAAGATTTTGTGGGAAATGTTGGAAGAAGAAAACGAAGAAGAGATGCAACATAATGTAGTAATTGGAGCGCATGGCGTTCCGAAGAGAATTGGTTACGAAATAGGTGAGTCTGGGATGATTTAGGTTTCTTTAAGGGAAAATTAATTTAAAGAAGATTATATTTGAGATTCTAAGCCTTTATTGGTTCGGAAAGAGATAAATCTGATTGGCTTATATTAGAGATTCTAAGCCTTTACTTGGTTCGAGATAAATCTGATTCGGTTATATTTGAGATTCTAAGCCTTTATTGGTTTGGAAAGAGAAAAATCTAATTCGC